GAGTGAATTTCCCTTCCTAGGGGTAGTTTTCCTCTCATTTCCTGTTTCTCCCTCCATTGGTAACTCGAATGTTCGTAACCCGGGGACTGCCTGTACTGCTTTTATGTTGGTTCCAAATAGTCACTTTTATTCTGCGTAGGCTGGAGGAGCCAATTATCTGCAGGTATGGATGTGTGGGTGTTAAAAACGTTATCTGTGCATCTGTAATTTGGGAGTGTACAAAAGGTGGGCAGTATTTTACATGAATTTGAAGCTTTTGGCTGCTTTTAATATACATTCCTTGTTATCTCCTTTTTGTTTAATTTTCAGCTTGAGCTGTTAAGATGTAAAAACAAGCTTTTTTCAACAAACAAGTGAATGAGTCAGAGGAGTGACTCATAAAGTTAAATTGGCCCAAAGGCATTATTAATATCCCATTAATATTTTTATTTTATACAAAATACATTAGTAACATTTGAAGGACACCGGAACGCATCTAAACAAAACCCTTTTATCTTGTGAGTGAAATATATTCTTTTTTAAGATGTTTAAATTACTGTGCTAGACCGGTGCACTTTTTAGAATAAAAGTTTTACCAGCAAATAATGCATAATTTGTAAAATGGACTTAAGGTCATGTTAACACTTTGGTGTGTTAGGACTACATCTGGCCAAGGTTTGGAAAATCCCAATGCAGGACACTGCAGGGGCGTATGCAGAAAAAAAAAATGTACCACATGCAATACTACTTTCAGTGCAGCATAGTGTGCAATGGATATCATTGCATGGTGTTGAGACCTTTATAAAAAAAAAATATTCATACTTGCATAGATCAATGCTGCAGTTGGCCCACTGATTGCTCAGTTCTCAGTCCGCTCTGAGCAGACAGCCAAGGCTATAAGCCACCACTCTCTGGCCAGCACTCACTAGCTTTGGAGGTGGCAGGATGAGCTGGCTCAGGCTCTCAGCGGTGTGCTGAATGGCTGACCCAGCTGCCAGTCAAAAATCTGGGCGGAACCTGACATCTGCTCACTGAAAAAGCGGATGACACAGCCTGCTGTCGAATGGAAACAAACAGGCGGTCATCCAATCTGCCAGATGGTTGGGGAGCGGATCCCCATCCATCTGTTTTTAGCGAACCGGATCAGATGCAGGTGGGTATAAGCAGACATGTATAGTAAAAATAGGAAGAAAGCGAGCGCCAAGACCAGCTAGCGGCTGATACACCAAAGGCAACCAAAAAACCTCATAACATACAATCCAATAAAAAGGTGCAGCGCTAAATATATGTATATGAACTAATATCTGATAAAAGTGTCCAAATAAAGTGACAAAATCCAATGCACACATATGCTGGGTGATCCGTGCTTTTCAGACGATCAATCAGGTGATGTGTCAAAGGGATGTTAAAAATGCACACTCACCAGCAGAAAGATCATAATGCGCATGGTATATGAGATACAGCTGGAGGTCCCCCTTAAGAGGTAGTCAGCCTGGTCAGGTCCAAGAGATCTGCTTCCTCCCTGGTACTCTGCCACACAGCTATCGTCCTCCAGGTATGGGCTCTATGGTGGTATTGGCTTATGAAGAGTCAGAAAGAAGGATGCCCATAGTGTAGTACTTTTACAGTCAAAACTTTATTCAAGGTAAAGCAACATGATCAGTGTTGATTCCTATGCTATTCATATTGATTTGCTTTACCTTGTATAAACTTTTTTGCTGTAAAAGTACTACTACACTATGGGCATTCCTCTTTCTGGCTCTTCATGAGCCAATACCACCATAGAGCCCATACCTGGAGGACGATAGCTGTGTGGCAGAGTACCAGGGAGGAAGGAGATCTCTTGGACCTTACCAGGCTGACTACCTCTTAAGGGCGACCTCCGGCTGTATCTCATATACCATGCGCATTATGATCTTTCTTCTGGTGAGTGTGCATTTTTAACATCCCTTTGACACATCACCTGATTGATCATCTGAAAAGCACGGATCACCCACTAGAGATTATCTTGGATCACATCAGTCACGTTTATCCATGCTTGGACTGTTCATACTCTTAGAGAAGTTTTGTGGGATATACTTATTTATTTTATGTCACATGTACGGCACTTTAGCATATGTGTGCATTGCATTTTGTCACTTTATTTGGACACTTTTATCAGATATTAGTTCATATACATATATTTAGCGCTGCACCTTTTTATTGGATTGTGTAAGCAGACGTGTCTCCGTAGAGAGAGCAGTGGAGCATCTGATCGGGTCTGCTCGAAAAATGGACAGGTGGACCCACTACCCCTCCGCTCCGTTGTCAATGCATCAAATGGCTGATGTCATAACTGATTGTGCTGCAGGGTGGCAACTGCAGATCAGAGGCTAAGATGGCAGCTTCCTTGGCTGTAAAGAATCGGAAGGTTACGTTCTGCTTTAATTAAATGCGACTTTCTGCTAATTCAATAAAGTTTGTACAAAAAAAAACCTGTTACATACATAAATGTAAACATAGTAAGGTAATACTTAAAGTGGAGTTCCACACAAAAGGGGAAGTTCCTCTTTAATGCTTTGTCCCTCGCTCCCCATTAAGGATTGGCACCTTTGGGGAGCGGAGGGGTAGTGGGTACCAGAATTTATCAGGTACCTGATCCCACTTCCGCTGCGATTGCCTAGGTAAATGGAAGCAGAAGTTGCCCTCCCTTCCCGTAGTCTTCTGGGTCATGTGACAGGTCCCAGATGACTACTGGGCCATTCACAAAGCGCAGTGCTTCTCGCAGATGCTCAGTGGGTAGGCATCTTTAGTGTGGGCACCCAGCTGTGATTGCTTGCGGCTTCTCAGCCGGGTGCCCACACTAAAGATGCCGGTGCCAGGGAGGGAAGACAGCTGGTGTAACCAGCAGTGGTGAAGACACCGCTGGACTGAGGGACAGGTAAGTGGCTGTATTTTAAACGTCAGCAGCTACAGTTTTTGTAGCTGCTGACTTTTTTTTTTTTTTTTTCAGCTAGAACTCTTCTTCAAGTCAGACAGACCTATATAGTTTGGTATAAAATATTCATACTACTGCCTACATACAGCCATTTGGATTACTCCCTTTAGCGCGAAGTATGGTTGCATATCTCAGTCATCTTCTAGTGGTGTTTGATTTTTCATGCGTGACCTCAGGAGAGCAGGCAGCAGGTAATGTAAATCCTATTCAGAATGGACTGCACAGCCTAATCCAGAATAAGAAGATGAATGAAGGCTGACTGACCTCAGCTTTTCAGGAGACTTAATGGATCTTCTCACACAACTATTCCAAATCCTGAAAAATAACTATCAAATGATAGAATATAATATATAACGGCTTTTAGATTTCTGTTTTCCTTGGTTGGCTTTTAGAGGAACATATGACAGAGCTTGTGTCCAGAGCAGATAATTACGCTCTAGTTACTATGGAGACATGTCCTCTCTCTTGTGTTGTCATCTCTATATTTTTATGCCGGATAGATTTATCTGCATGTTCTGTGCGTTGTCTTTGTTGTCTTGCACCCATGTATTGCAATTAAACTTCTCTAGGTCAGTCTCTTTGACAACACTATGACAGTCTTGCTAAACATTACAACAGTTTCCATTTTAATTAATATTCTTTGGTTGTCTTGTATTTGAGGTTGACACCCCCCAACCACTGGTGTAGCATCAAGGATCTCAATGGTGACCCCACTTCATGTGACCTCCCTGTCACATTCTGAAATAGACATCAGTCTTGTTGTGGATCAGTCAGTTGTGTGTATAAATGGCTGCTTTGGCTTGTAGAGCTGCTTTTTTTTTTTTTTTCCTGTGTGCAGAGATAGATGTGATAGGTAGCCAAGAGATCCACTGGCTGGCATATCAAGACTGTTTAATATTTTTCTGCAAGATTTCACATCTGCTTGGGTAGAGTTTTACCTAAATATAATGTGTGTAAAACCACTATACACTCCTTTTTAATGTGTAGATTTGTGTTCCCACATGCAGACAGTGTGCGTTTAGGGACCCGCACCCACACATTTCCAGTTGTGAGAAGCAGCTGTGTCTGTGTAGCTGCTACATCCCAATTGCCACGAATGGTATTGCCTGTGAAGGAATACATGGAACACTTGTGTGTGTCCTTGTGCAAACAAACACGGCCCTCACACAGGCCTATACTTACAGAGTAATTCCACTTTTGAGAATAAAACCTTTCCCTCTGGGTGGTAAATGCACATTGCAGTGATCTTAAACTTTTTTGCAGATTCCTACCTTTTGTTATTCTGAAGTAATAGTTTGTTTGTGTCCATGTGCAAAGTGAATCTGTATGGGAGTGTTTTTTATAATTATCAATCAGCTGCTCCACCTGCAGAATGCTGACAAGTGGCAGGGTCTGCATCCCTTTTAGACATGATTTCCCTTTGGAGGTTTCTCACCAAAAATGACCCTTTTGTTGCAGGGGATGCTAAAAATCTTGTATCTTGGTGCAGACTTCTGTGAAAAATCATTAAGTAAATCACACAAGCAGGAAATGTCTGGGGGCATTCTATGCACAATCTGTATATAGGCCGCATTATATTTTACAGAAAATAACAGCACTGCAGATTGAAAAGGAAAGGTCATTTTTAATAACCAATTACAAAATGACTTGTGTCGCAGTTGTGTATGCTATTTTTTTTTTTTTTTGGCTTGGTATCAAGAAATCCACAAACTTTCCACTTCTTAATAGGTGATTTAACAGTACTGATTGGCATATGCAAGGCTTTGGACATCATTTTTATGTGCTTTTCCATCTTTATAAAGTTCCATTACCTTGTTACACAAGACTTTTGACAGTTCTTTTCTGATCCCCATGGCTCAGTATCTAGCCTAGTCAGTGCTTCCACATAAGAGCTAACAAACTCATTGACTATTTATACACTGACACTAATTGTAATTTAATAACCTTCTGCCCACCCTATAGTACAATGACGGGCGCAAGGTGGTTCTCTCGTTCTGATAGGACGTCATATGACGTCCTACCATTCTCACTGCGCATGCGCGGCTCAGGCAGCGCGGCGATCGCCGGACACAGCGGATCACGGAAAGAGCCGAAGATGTCGGCTCGGTCATGTGATCAGCTGTGTCCAATCAGCTGATCACATGTAAACACGGAAATGCCGGTTATTGACATTTCTCTCCTCTCGAGCTATCAGCGTGACAGCTCGAGAGGAGAGCCGGTAATCAGCTTTCCGCGGAGGAGACATGTACACTGATCATCAGGGCACTGATGATCAGTGTGCCCTGATGATCAGTGTGGCCCCAGAAGTGCCACCTGTCAGTGTCCATCAATGCCACATGCCAGTGCCCATCAGTGCCACATATCAGTGCATACCAGTGCACATCAATGCCACATATCAGTGCCCATCTGAGCTGCCTTTCAATCTCACTCATCAGTGCCAGTCAGTGTCACCTATCAGTGCTGCCAATCAGTGCACCTATCAGTGCCAGTCAGTGTCACTTATCAGGGCACATCAGTGCCAGTCAGTCCCTGTCAGTGCTGCCTATCAGTGTCCTGTATCAGTGCTGCCTTTCAGTGCCCATCAGTGATGCTTGTCAATGCCCATCAGTGCAACCTACCAGTGCCTCCTCCTTAGTGCCCATCAGTGCCACCTATCAGTGTCCATCAGTGCAGCCTATCAGTGCTCATCACTGCAGCCTCATTAGCGCACATCAGTGAAGGAGAAAAATCACTTATTTACAAAATTGTATAACAAAAACTAAGAAACGTTTTTGTTTTGTTTTCAAAATTTTCAGTGGTTTTTGGTTTGTTTAAGAAAAAATAAAAATCCCAGAGGTGATTAAACACCACCAAAATAAAGCTCTATCTGTCTCAAAAAATGCTAAAAATTTCATATGGGTACAGTGTTGCATGACCGCGCAATTGTCATTCAAAGTGTGACCACTCTGAAAGCTGGAAATTGGCCTGGGCAGGAAGGGGGTATAAGTGCCCTGTAGTCTAGTGGTTAAAAAGCCACAGATGTGGGACATTAACCTCTAATTGGCATTTTAACCCATGTGTGTCACCTTGTGTGTCTGTACCAAGGCCAAACATTCCAGGGGATGTAAACTTTTGATCATGGCCATTTGGGTGATTTCTGTTATCATTATGATTTAAAAAGGAGCCAAACCACTATTTGATAATAAATGGCTTCATATGATCATCATCCTTCAATAAAAGAACATTTTTTGGCATGATCAGTCATATTTTCAATATCAATGCCAAAATTTCACAATTTCTGCCAGTGTATGCAAATTTTTGAGCACAACTATCTGTGTATGTTTAGCATTCCCGGGTAGGGAGCGCACAATGCCAATGGCAGCTACGGATATCAATCACCGGGTCCCAGAGGGAGATTCCAAGCTGGCACCCAGCGATACCACTGAGAGAACCTGACAGGGGAGAGACCTGTACACAACACAGGTGTCTCTCCTGCCAGCAAGAACATGCTGTGTATTTCTCTGTTTCCCTAGTAAAACGCACACAGTACTTTATGTGAAACCACACACAGTTAACCCTATGATCGCCCCAGATGTTAACCCCCTTCCTGCCCAGTGTCATTGATACAGTGTCAGTGCTTTTTATTAGCACTGATCACTGTATTAGTGTCATTGGGATGCCAGTGGCAGTTAGTTCCCACCCAGTGTCAGCATGCCCGCCGCAGTCCCGCTATTAATCGCTGATCGCCATTACTAGTATAAAATAAAAAAAATTCCAGTTGTAGATGCTATAACTTTCATGTAACTTTCATGTAAACCAATTCATACATATATATATATATATATATATATATATATATATATATATATATATATATATATATATATATATATATATGGAATTTTTTTTAGCAAAGACATGTAGCCGAATACATTTTGCCCTAAATTTATGGGGCAATCTGATTTTTTTTTTTTTTTTTAATTTTTTACTGGATATGTTTTAGAGCAAAAAGTAAAAAAAATTTATTCTTTCTTCAAAATCGGGTCTTTGTTTAAAAATAAAAACTGCACAGGTGATAAAATACCACCGAAAGAACGCTCTATTTGCGGGGAAAAAAGGACATAAATGTCATTTATGTACAGTGTTGCATGACCGCTCAATTTTCAGTTAAGGGTTATAAATCCTCTGGAGGGCAAGTGGTTAAATATGATTGTTAGTTACGTTGTGATACTGACTCACCAGAAGTAGGACCTTCCAGGTACGCATGTATTCATACTAACATCTTTTGAAACCCCTCGACTACGCACAGGTGATCTCAATTTAACTTAATTATGTGACTGCTGAAAAGAATGGTCTTCACCAGTCATGATTTAGGCATACGACCTGTGTAACAATACAAGTAGTTGTGTGTATTTTCATTACTTTTGCAGAGATCTGTTTTCACTTTAACATTAGAGAGTCTGATCAACATTAAAAAAATAAAGAAAAGTACATTTTCTGTAGGTGAATGTTCTATGACAATAAAATGTGAAAACATTGAGGCGAATACTTTCATTGGCACCATAAGTGATATTTCTGTTTTGTAAAGTTAAATAATCTTCTGTGGTTGTGGTAACATGTATGTAAATGGTATATCTGTGAGAAATCTCCCATTGTTTTTATTATGTATGAATGGAATACAGTGAACCTCCGTGAAGTCGTAGTTCTGAGTTCGCGGTTTCAGTCGTTCGTGGATTTTTCCTCCCCGGCAGATCAGCATTCCTGCATCATAACAGTTTACCGCGTCTCGAGTGTTCTCTTAGTTTCCGTTTTGTTCTTTTTTTGACCACATCCAAAATTTGCTGTTTTTCGCAATTCGCGGGTGCTCTACGAAGGTAATCCCCATGAATTTTGGGGTTTGACTGTATTAGGAATGAAGACCTGCCCACATGGACATAGCCAACTTGTTAGAAAATCTTTGTATATGGCAGTGAGCGCTTCTAAGCTTTTAGACCTTCAAATAGGTCATCTTTTGAAAAAAAAAAAAATGCACATGTGTTTGCAGGTATTTTCTCTCAAGAGCCTGCAGAGCATTGCACCCATGATCAGTGGATTTGTGGGTACATTGTTGGGCTCCTGCAGACATCAGCTTTCTGCCTGTACCTCTGTGCAGGCTTTCTGTTGAAAAGCTATAAGAAGTGTCAGTGAACTATGAGAGTGCTAACCAGTTCACTGAGAATTACAAGCAGTCTGCCACAGTGGAAGATGGTACTTGTAGTTCTGTCATTCACAGATTCCTGTAAATGAAATGAATGACAGCAGGTGCATGGAGAAGATCCCCCAGCCGCTGTCACGGGGGAGGATTGGGGGGTGCAAAGACAGGTACTGGGGTATGTGACATGTTACACTCTAAAGGGCCAGCTTACGCCAGTGTGTTGATTTGCATTTTAAAGTTGCACTAAAATGCATGTCAACAGAAGGACATCTGAAAAACAATTTCCAATGTGTCCTATTCACACCATAATGCTTTGCATGCATGTCCACAGATGTCAAAATGTATGTCAGTGTGCATTAAAACACAACTAAAAATGGATGTACATGCATTTTCCATACATTTTAGTGCAAGTCAGTGTGAATTGGCCCTAAATATGGATCTCACATATACATGCTCCAGAAGATGAACTTTACAGCACTGCATGGCCTAGTATTCATCCACATGTCACAGGTGCTGCATTGACTAGTTTATAGGACATGTATGGGCTCCACAAATGACTTTATAACAGTATAAATGTACCCACACATTCTACACTATTCATAAAGAGAAAATCATAGAAAAAAAATGTATAAACAAATCATTAGCATTTGGCCATCTTTAAACCTCATCTTCCCACTACCCGCATTTTTCCATTTCCACTTCTCATCTTCCAGCTACATTGGACTTTCTAGATTGCCGGGAAGCTTCCAGTAATTTGGCAGTTAGGACTATTTTCAGTGACTGCATATTCTGTAGTGTAGAATTCTTTACAGGCTCATGTTTAACAGTGACAGCTTTCTCACTTGGAGCTGCTTTTTTATCTTCTGTAACACAAAGTACCCTATTTCTGGCGTTACATAACTCCTCTCTCCCACACTCACATTAAAAAGTACTTCTATTTTCAGTGAGCATTATTATTGCATAAGTAATTTTATTGCTTTTGGCTTGATTTTTTTTCCTTTTTTAATGCATGCCCTTCTTTATTTTGATCTATTTAAATATAGAAATGAGTAGATTGTCCAGTGGTGAAAACATTGCCACTGCCTCCCATTTATAACAACTGCTGAAAAAATTTTGACAGAGACAACCTGAACTGTGAAGTACAGCAGTAAACTAGAACTACTGTGTAGTATTACAAAGCAGGATGTAGAGCCCTTGTACCCAACCAGTAGCCTGCATGTGATCCTTAGGACTTCACACAGGCAGCAAGGGGGGTGGTAAAAATAGGTTGTTTTATGCAAATATTTACAGACTGCCTACACTGCAGGCAGACATGGTGGCCTCTCAGGTCTGTTCACATTGCCATAGCCATGATTTACTTCCTGGTGCAGCATTTTTAACCTGTTTGCCAGGGCACTCTTTGAAGTCAGCGGGACTGCACTGCAACCATGTGCCAGATGTTTGGCACATGGTCTCAACATGATATTTTTCATTGGGATCAGAACCCGGGCCTCCAGCGCAGTGGGCATCCGGCCAGCTGGGTTGATTCCTTAGGCCACTGAACACTGGCTTCTAGTAGTTAAATGACTGTTTAGTTCTTATGTTTTTTCTGTCCATCCATTTTGTCTTTGATTTTTTTTTTTTAATCTAATCTTTTAGGCGTCATGCACACTACACACTAGACTTTTCTTAGGCTCCATGCACACTAGCATTTTTTTTTTTTTTTTTTTTTAAGCTCAAAAAATGCTGGATATACCTGTTTTAGGAGCGTTAACATTTTATTAGCATTTTTAAGTACATGTAGAGAAAAAAAAAACAAAGCTAGAAAAAAAGCTGTTAGAAGCGTTTTAGTAGTCTTTAGGAGCATTTACGTTTGTTTTTTTTGTTTTTCTGCTTGAAAAACACTCCAAAAACTCTACAAAAACATTTTGTTTTTCTGCTCCTAGATGCTGAAGCTCACAAAAGGCTAATAGCCCAAAGTAGTGTGCATGGACACATAGGATAACACTATTTAGCTTCTAGGAGCAGAAAAAAAATATGCTGATAATAGCGTCTAGGAACATAAATGTTAATGTGCAGGCAGCTAAATTCCTTTTTTTACTGGAAGGAGAAAAGCAGCTTCAAAAACTCACCTAAGTCTCGTTTTGGCAAACTCGTTTAGGCACTACAAATGCTTGGGCATTCATTCATTTCAATGACCAGAATAGTAGTCTATTCTGGCCATTGAAATGAATAAAAGCTCAAGTGCTAAACAAGCCTAGCACGTTTTTGATGTTTTACGAGCCAAAATTTTCCTCTCTTGAATTCACAAGTGATAGTTTTTTTTATTTCTGCCTCTTAAGGGCTCATGCCTGTAAACTCCAGTAAATGCCCATGAATGTATGGACACATAGGCTAACATGGAGAGGCTTT